TGAAGACTCCAGCGCTGGGGCAGCTTCTTAGGGGGCACAAAAAGCCGTGGCAGGAGATCACTCTCCTGACATAGTCTCGTGAACTTGGCGGCGTCAATGTCCCGCGAATCCCTGCTGCCCTCAAGCACATAGCGGGGAAGGAGGTACGGTGGGACGACCACGGCCGTCTGTTCATGGGGGTCCAGTGCAACAAGACCTAGCAGTAGCTCGCACACTAGGGTTAGCACCGGAAAAACGGCGACCTCGCCATTTACATGTGTCATGGGAACATGCAGGACCGAGGCACACTGTGCTTTGTGGTTCTTCTTAAAAAGGTACACGCATGCAACAGGCCATCCAATTCGGTGTGCTACCCAGATCGTGTTGGAGACACAGTTGTTGGCCCTCCAAGGGGCCACGGTGATGAGCCCTCTGTTGTAACCCTCCTCTAGCACGTCCCTCCTTGGGCGTAGTGCCGCCGTGCCTCCCTTAATGACAACCAGCTGCCTGCCTTGAAGGAACTCCGAATTATCGGGCGTCGGCATGCCTACGTTCCAAGCCGCCAGCCATCGAGGGAGCATGTTGCTCCACCCCGCACGATTGGATGCCTGCCACTCCCAATACTCATGTTCACCATCCTGCCTAACACGTGGGTAAAAGAGTCGAAACTTGTGCAAGGGGCATTCACTGAGCCACGAGGGCCTAACAGCTCGGAGTGCCAACTTATGAGAACTAAGGTTCCGCACCAAAGTAGTGAGAGGCGTCTCCACCTGACATCGTGCCAAATGTCCCATATAGGTCCAAACCCTGGTGAGCCACGTCACCTGCCAACGTGGTCCGGAAAAGCGGTCGCAATACAGCTTCAGGGCTCTCCGCACCCCCTGTGTATTCTCAACCCACGTGCTAAAAGGGTCTGGAGCAAACCTGAAAATTCCCAGTAGAAGTGAGTTCTTCAGGCCTTCCAGAGATCTGAGGGACCTGACGCTAGGCCACACCACCGAACTACACCATGACCAGCGTGACGAGACATAGCTTTCGAAGAGCGTCGCCTTGAGCCTATGGGGCGTGGCAGGGTGGTCAAGCAGCTTTTTCATGGCGAAATACGAATTCGTCATTTTGCGCAGGGAATGTGTGAGCATAGATTCGGGATCATTGGTGTGTCTCAAGGGGACCCCGAGAAAGGTAAGGGCATCTCGTCCTTCCAGAGGAAGGGCACTGTGTCGCGGCCACACCCCTGGGGTGGCTCCTTTGATGTTCAGAACCTGGCACTTGCGCGCGTTAATGAAGAGCCCAATGCACTGCAAGCTGTCTGTCAAATCCCTCAACTTGCTCTGAAGCTCTGCTGCACTCATCGCACACAACAAGATGTCGTCAGCGTACAGAAGAAAGTGTGGCAAGCGTAGCCCGTCTCCCCACGCAGGGAACATTTCGTCCCATCTCGGCTGTAGCCCTCTGATGTGTCTGTCTATCACCCTTGCAAACAGATCAGCTGAATAACTGCTCCCCTGCATAATTCCCTGCCGCACCGGTACCTTCCATGTCTCAGCCCCCAGCGACATATGAAGGCAGTTCTCTGAGCACAGCTTCCACAACAGGCCCGCCTCCGGGCATGGATCACACTCTGCCAGGTAGCGAACAACGGCAGAGTGAGCTAAGCTATCAAAGGCAGCTCGTATGTCTAACTTTGCTACGTGCGCCTCCACCCCATGCTTGCGCCGGAGAATCCCGATGACTGTTTGAGCCGCTAAGATGCCATCTACTGTTTGAGTGCCCTTCCTACAGCCTAGCTGGCCACTGGCGAATGCGGGGCACCGAGCAGCGACCCTGTTCATGACGAGTCTACCAAAGACCTTCGACAAGCAGGGGGACAAACAAATAGGGCGCAGATCAGAAGGACAGGACGGAGCAGGGGTTTTGGGTAACAAGACCACTTTGGCTTCGGCCCAACTGGAAGGGACCTGCAACTCCCGAAACAAAAGCTGATTGAAGTACCGAAGCAGTTTACCCCGGGAGTCCTTCCGGTGATATGTTTTAATGGCCTCGTAACACACTCCGTCCATGCCAGAGCTCGTACGTACGTGGTTTGCACCTGGCGATAGCAGCTGCAAGCTCGTCCTCAGAAAAAGGCTTCGGCTGGATTGTTGTGTGGGTGCGAAGCATTTGGTCTACCGCTTCCTTGGTGGGAGCTGGAAGGAAGGAGGAGTACTTAGCTTCGTAAAACCTTTGCAACTCGGTTGCCGCTGGTTTTTGTCCACCTCTGATCTCAATGTAGCTCGTCTCGAAGGAACGCTGGGCTGCGCTCTTACGAAGGTAGGTGATGGCCCTCCTGTCCCCCGCCCTGGCGTCCTCCAGGATCTTGATTTTGTGATCCGCTTTGGCTAGGGCCCGCTCATGGCGAACCTTACACAAGAGGGCCGCCTTGACCTGCGGGTCTGTTTCCTCTCTCCTACTCCTGATGGTTTGCTTGAGTCCCTCCGAGTCCTGATATCGCAGAGACGGCGGTCGCGTCGAATTGCTTGCATACAAATTCGCAAATTCTGCTGGATCAAAGGGAGAACCAGATTCTGCATATCTCTCTAGCGGACCAGGGGAGGTACACCATCTACCACACCCGGTCCTGGGCCTGGCTGATCTCCACACCAACGGCCGGGGCGTGCGCATGAGGCTGAAGACCGGGGAGTGATCCGATGGCAGGGCCTCTTTCATGTCGTCCCGTTTGAACGACGCAACCTCGACCCTTTGTGCCCTCAACATGATGAAATCGATTTCACTCCCAACTCCCCTGGCACTCCAGGTGTGGCCCACCGACCGGTTGTATCGCATGTCATACTTTGAGATGATGGCTCTCAGCAGACCCATACCAGGAAACTCGTCTACCCCCGCGTGAAGGTCCTGGTTCACGTCGGCCCCGATTAGAATTATGTCGTTAGAGTGGGCATCCCTGAGGCCTTCGTCGAGCCCCTCAAGGGTGTGCTTCCAGACCGTCTCAGCATCCGCATCTGGTCTTAGGTCCGTGCTCGCTCTCTTACTGTGCGGCAAATGGAGACATGCAACATGCAAGGTGTGTTGGGGACATGCAACATGCAAAAGAATTCCTGCTTTCAGCGTTTTACGTGCTTGCACCGTCAGTCCTAGATCCGTGCGAAGAAGGACCGCTTGGCACCTAAACGCCTCCTCCGCTGAGCACACATACATGGTGTACGGCGTGCGGCCTAGCAGACAAGGACGGGAGGCAACTTCGGGGGTAACTTCTTTGACCCCTCCTAGCTCCTGCAAACAAAGGACATCAGGAAGACGTACCATGCCCTCCCACAGATTAGAAAGATCCTCTATGGCTTTGCCATGCAGATTCCACGTGCAACAAACAAATTCGTTCTTCGGAAAAGCGCGTCTGTTCCGGCCTACTCCCTAGCTTTGCGAGACCTCTACTTCAAAGTGTGTGTGGACCACAGCCAGCGTCGTGCCAAGCAGCTGCGCTACCTGCGGGCCCGGAATCCACCATCCCGTTTCTGAACCTCTAGCGTCTAGCAAGAGCAAGGCCCCTTCTGTGGGCTTCTTATCATCCCAGTGTGCCAGAATGCTTACCCCTTTGACCCAGAAGCGCCCTCGCCAATCAAACTCAAAGTCGGCTTCACTCAGGAACCTAACTATCAGGGCCTTGATAGTGACGATGGCGCGAATTCTGGCCCGTTCCGCCGGGCTGCGGTTGCGCTTGGCCCATAGGGCCCGGGAGGGTTGTCCGGGTATCTCACTTGGCTTGCTAGCATTGCGTAAGGCTTCAACACAGAGGTTTTGCACCTTCCGTCTATCCCTGAGGTTGGGCTGCATGTACAGTAAGTCTACACGGCACGTGTTGGACCTCACCGAATTCACATGCACGTCCTGCAAAAGGGGGAGACAGTCGGCTCTTTCAAACCACGCCCTAACTTCGGCTTCGATAGCATCCCGCTTCGCGTCAGCCCATCCCCCTAGTGCAATCTGCCAGTCATCATGCACGCCTTCCCTAGGGGTGCGAGGTGAGGCAAATCCCGAACCTGAAGCAGCGCTAGGACTACGCGACCTGAATTCCTTTAACTCAGACTCCAAAGCAGATAAACGAGCTTCGAAAGCCTGGGTCCTCTCTAGCTGCGAGTCTTGACGGCCTTCAAGTGTTCTGATTTTATCCGACATGCTCTGAAGTGTCTGATTGTTAACCTGCAACTGCTCCAAGGTATCCTGTTGTCCTTTATCCAACCTCAGAAGACCTTGCTGGAGGTCCTGTGCCCAAGGGGGCGGCGCATCGTCGCCAATGTGGTATGTTGCCGGAAGGGAGCGTTTGTCTTTAGGGGGCGGGGGGGCACCGAACACAGGAGGAGCTTGTAGTCCCGGGGCGCCTAGCCTAGAGGGTGCTGAAGGAGGTTCTTCGGGTCGGGCCTTCTTACCGGGGCTACCCTGAGGTCCGGAGGATTTAGCTTTAGAGGGAGACGGGTGCTTATTAAGAAGCTTTTGTGCGGCTTCCAGAGCCCCGTCGTTGGCTGCAGTGAGGGCGTTCCGAAGTCCCGTTCCCCCCCCTATCACCCCCCCAATCCCACCCATCCCCCCCCCCCGTCGCCGCAAGAAGCGCCGCGTGGGCAGCCTCCCGCATCTGAGCATCCTCGTCCCCTCCAATCAGACGCCCGCCCCCCACGGGACTCACGTCGTCGTCATGCAGCGGGGGAAGATCAAGGGTTTCCTGATCGTCAGGGGGGGTAGCCATGTGGTCCAGGACGCACGGGGGAGACGAACGAACGAGAGAAAAGGGACGCGGCGACTACACTCGGGAGGCCTCAGAACAACGCGCAGCGGGACAACCAGACCACTGAGGGGGAAGCCACCTGGTTGGCACTTGAGCCAAAATGGCTTGAGCCAAAATGGCTACGGTTTAGGGTTTAGGGCTTAGGGTTGCGATGCCACGACGTGACAGAACATGCCCTAAGCCCTCAAGCCTGAAGCATGGCAAGTTTCGGCCGCATCTGAGCATTCGCTGAATTGCGCCTAGTTGCATAAGCACCATGTCCAGGAGGAACCTGCTACCACTTTTTCCAATGCTATAAGGGCTGTGGGTATGGCATCAGCGTCACTGGGGAGGTCGGAGGGTCGCCGGGGCTCAGGGTCTTGACTGCATCGAAGCACACACTCCGTCGAAAAGACAGCTGAAGAAGTGCGATGCCAGTCGGAGATTTCGGGCGCCACTCTGCATCGATTCCTGAGCGAAGCCGAGTTGGGTCTGGTGTACTTGTCCAGCACTGCGGGTCTATTCAGCACCGACACCCCAACCTTCTTGAAAGCGTCGCAACGGGACGGGAATGCGCCGAAACAAGCAGGTCCGAAGTGTTGCGCTGGATAGCAAGGAGCGACAAGACAGCGAAGATGCAGACAAGCGTCCAACGATGGGTAGGAGCGGTGTAACCGTCGCAGCACTGGGTTGGTCAGAGTCTGACTCTGGCAGGTCTGCAGAGCCAGAAAGCCTCACATCGCCAAACACGCCGAACAAAGCATCTAGACCTTCACGTGCCTGTTGCAGACCCAGTAAACACTTAGCAAGTGGCTCGAAGAGGCCACAGACACATTCACTCGTGCAGCAGCAGCTGCTGCTGCGCTGCTGCAACTACAACATCCACCACACAAATGAGATGAGATAAACCATGTGTCGTGCCTGAACCGCAGAAACAAGTTGAAACCGACAACACATGCTGTGACGGTGCTATCCGGGGATGGTGGATAAAGAGCCATCGTACACTGTGATAAACAGGCCCATGGACTTAAATGTCGGAGTTTCTCGAACCTGAACCCACATAAAACTGATAATTTGCAACAGCCCATGAAGAAAAATCTAAACCCCAAACCTCGAAAACCTGAACACCCCAAAACAAGCTCAGAACTTCACTAAACCCTAAACAGCTGAACCGAACACAATGAATCCGAAACCCTGCCAGCCCTAAACCCCTGACCCCTTCAAAACGGTCCTGGCCTCTCCCGAAGTACATTTTCCAGTTTCTTGAGACCGGCCCGGTCCGACACCTTGGTTTTAGGGTTTAGGGTTTAGGGTTTAGGGTTCTGGAGACTTGCTAAGGAACTGTTTAAATACTCAGCGCAGAGGGTATGCTTCCCTTCCCATCACAATTTACATTGCACTCCTCAGCAAGAGCTCAGATTTTCGATACTACCTTAGGAGGTTCTTTGACAGTTGTGTTGCCAGGGTTTGGGCAAAGGCATCCAGCGGCACTCCGTCACCCCGAAAACAACAGTTATATACATGTACAACCATGCATGTATACATATACACAGGAATAAAGGCATCATTTACATGTTCGCTCAAGTATTCGTTTGTGCAGTTTCCCCACTTCGGATTCAGGATTAATGATTTAGGATTGGGGGGGTTCAGCACTCACTCTCGGACAATCCTAGGCGAGAGGGTTCGGGATGATTTGGGGGTTTATGTAGGTCAGGAATCCCGACTTCGCAGCACCCTTGGCAGCTGACCCCAATGCTCCCAACATTCCCCGAGCCATTTCTTTCCGACCGGGCGCCAGGTGCACGGCATTAGGGATGGCCAGGGCAAGGGTGGGCTCATCTGGTGCTGGTGGCGCCTGCATCAGGTCACTGAAATGATTGAGGTCTCAAGACACACTGAGCTCGCAGCTTGGTGGTTCAATGCTCGGCTTGGTTCGGGGCCAGGGGGCCTTGCTGAGAGGAGTGAGACTTCCGGCCCGGGCATTGCAGTAGGTTCTTAAGTATTCTGCCACGTCCCTCCCACACAGGTGTCAAATTTAGGTGCGTGTGTCCTTATCGAGCAGGCCATCGGCAACTGCCGCGGCGTGAGATGCAACACCACAAAGTTTGTAGTCAATGTATGTGTAGGCATGGTGAACCTACCGGCATTATCACGACAAGGTCTTTTGCATGGCCTCGTAGTGTTACACTACCCAGGGGCCCCATAGTAGTTCCTTTTTGGGATTACCGTATAGGATTCTTATCATGAACCCCAAAAAGGAACTACTTTGGGGCCTATGGGTAGACATCCCTGGGCCTCGTTTTTCTTTGCTCCCACCTTCCGCGCAGATCCCACTTCTTGCTGCGAGGGGACGTGGACCTCCGTATCATATATACTGTAATATACTATAATAATAGGTACCGTGCTATAAAAATTTCGACCGGCAAGCAGGACAGACACAGCTGAAGATCGCGAACAGTACTTCCAGGAGCCTCTGAAACTTTAGAGGCGGTTTGGAAGTACCATTGGAAGCGCTCGGCACTTTTACGGCTTCGCTGATACTGTATCATCCACAACCCGGCCGTGAATAGCTATTGTGATAGCAACTGCACCTATGATCACACCAAGAACTGGGCATTGCAGCACGCAACTCAGCCGAGCAAACCCTCTCGCCTGATAACCTACTGGCACGCTAATATCCTCATCCAAAATCATCCGAAGGCCACCATTCCTAGATAAGAGCTCGTGCAGATCCTCAAAGCAACTAGTCGATGCATCCCCACCTCCTCGAGAATACGGATCCTCAGAGACTGAAAGGTTTTGGTGGAGCGATGTTCGTCTTTGATGGCGTTAAGCAATTATTCGGGCGCAGGGCGTGCATCCTGGCCCAGTCTTGCAAAGAGCTGTTGCCAAAGCTGGAGGAGCTCCGAGGGAAGCCAAAAAATCCGGAACGCTGCAGCCGCAAAAGAAGTCAAATTTGCACTGAGCACTTGGAAGTCAACAGCCTTTCAAAGCTGAGAAGCCATGAAACACAAAAGCACCTTCATGTCAACCCCCTTATATACCCCACAAGGCCCTAAAACCCGAAGCTTTATACGTTGCTTACATGGCTTAGTTTTGCGAGCTCTAAGCCCAAAAAACCCCAGGCCCGATAAAGCCTCAACCGTTGCACGTTAAGCTCCAAAGCCCCAATGCCCCCTGAAAGCCAAAATCCCGAAACCCCCTCACAAGCCCGAACCTCAACCCAAAAGGGGTATAAGCCCCAGATGCCTTACACCCACAAGCCCTATAAGACCCTGAAGCACGAAGTCTTCTTCTACAAGTAGGCGGAAGGCTGCTCGGCAACCATATCCACAATTCCGTTGTCGAACTGTGCCTCCCTCTTCTTTCGAACCTGACAGGTTAAAGGTCCTCGTCTAGCGGTACTCGTACTACGGCTTACTATGCGGGTCCTACCAAACTTAGGGGCTCGATGCATGTTTTCTGCACGTCTCCCAATACTTTTGAAACGTCCTTATGATGACTACAGGGTTGCATACCACGGCGAATAGTGTTGAGACAGACTTTACGTTACAAGGCGCCGGCACACTTCACCTGTGACGGACACACATCGGGGGCTGGAGTGGTACAGGCGAGAAGCAAAAAAAATCTCAAACCTCAATGTTTGCAAAAACGACGTGCAGAGCTCCGAGCCCGGAAGTCCGTCTCGAGCGGTGCTTTCTTTGACACGGCCCGCACGACCCTGAACTCCCTTGTTTGTCCCATTGCTGGTGTGGCCTTCATAGCAGGATGAAGCCTTGGCTCCGCTCTTGATCCCTCGACCCCGAACCTCTGACTCTAAAGACCAAGACCGTAAAAACAAAGGCAGGCAAACCTTACAGGGAGTACCGGGTCGAGCCTTCATGGCCCCGAAAGCCCTGAATTCAACACCCAATAATCGGAATCGGAAACCTTTACGCCCGAAACTAAAGGCCCAACCCCTGCAATCTTTAGGCCCTGAGCCTCCTCCGGTGCCGATGGAGTCGCTCTGCCATACTGCTCCTTGGTCCCAGCGACTACCGCTCCAGCCTGAAACTCCCAATATCCTACACTCTCCTGCCTGCCTACCCTTTGAAGAAATCCGGTTCAGTTCGGCATGTTCTAACGTAGGGGCTTGAAGAATTAGAATGGTTTTTGTTTGGGGCTCCTTGTTATAACTATAGTATNNTTATCAAGGCTCCTATACTATGTATCGTCACTTCTGCATGCGAGGCTCGCCAAGCTCCTCCAGTTGCAGGCGCCCAGCGACATAGATTAACCTTTAGGGGTTTGAGTTCAAGGCTTCGGGTGCAGGATGCAAGGCCAAGTAAGGCTTGTAAGGGTAACAGATTATGCATGACAAGCTTTAGCATGTTTTTTTGTTATGGCCGGCAACTGCATGATGTTGTAATGCTGTGCGTTTCTTGATGTTGTTGACGTTACTGTTGCTCTTCCTGGTGCTGCTGCTGCTGCTGCCGCTGCTGCGGCTGCTGCGGGTGCTGTTGGTGCTGGTCGGTGTGCCGTTGCTGTTGAAGTCGTTGGTGGTGCGAAATTATTGCATGCGCCGATACAAACACCAAGGACGCGGCTGCTGTGCTCGCAGCCTCTTGATCACAGACGCCGCGCCGCTTTGTCCGACGCGCTCAGCCAACGAGCGGCCGACAAGGAGCTGCAAACGCATGGGTCTGCCGGAACCATCAGGAGATAGCCTAGGACGGTCACGGCCAACACGGGGACTAAACGAAAAAGCTGCTGTTATGCTCATAATTATTGTTCCCATTGAATGAAACAAGGCCCTCCCTCCACACCAGGAACCCTTCCATACTCTGCCAAGCTGCCATATACTTCGGTCAGAATCTCGGTCCGAACCCGGTGGTAATAAATCCGCAAACAAGAGCTGACGAGACAAGCGCCGCACAGCCGCAATCAACACAACGGCATGAACCACGGTTCCACCTCCAGCCCGCAAGGGGAATAGAACCGGTGCCGGCTTGTTGGCTGGAGCTGGCTCGTCAGAGTCATCAGCACCAGGTATTGACGAAAGGTCAGCGATGGCAGCCTGCAGCGGCTTAGTGCTGATAAAACGTTTGCCCTGGAGTGTCTTACGCAGCTGCAACAGGAACATCTTTGCTCCAGCGGCATGAGTTTATCCAAACCCCATGCCTCGGCTTCGCTCAGCAAAACACGGGAAGATATGGTCAAATGCAAGCTTGGATGTGCTGCGCCCACCACCAAATTGCTCGGACAACCAACCTCGGTGGAACACACCGACGAAGCAACATGAGGCTAACACAGGAATTTGACTTCGCGCAACCAAACCGAGGAGCTTCGAACAGCTGCATATCCACAAACACTGGCAGCTTTGGTTCGATACATACCGGTGGAACCATACCTTGACGTGACGGTGCCAGTTGCTTCGGCAATGACAACCAAGCACTGCGTGGGTAAAGTTTAACATCAATGTACCTACCTCGCAGTCCGACATGCAGCATTCCCTGCGCAAAAAACGTGCAGGCAAAACATGCCGAACGAGGTGCCCATTTGGCAGCCGGTGGATTCCTCCGCCTCTTCCGGAGATGCCAAGCCCAATGGCTTTGCATGACAACTGCCTTCACCCTGGCTGCGAAGGGCGCGCCTGGGGCGAAAGAGTTTTGCAGCTGCCGAGTGGTGGGTTTTTGGGACCCGCCGAAAACGGATTACGTACACAATGCTCCGACCTGAAGCGTGTCCGAATGCTTTCCTGCTTTACAACTTGCCCACCTCAACTTTCGAAAGCTCAGTCGGCATTCCATGGGTAGAACACACAGCACCATTGCCACAGTAGTTCCAGTTCCGCCGTCACCTCCTTGTGTGCAGTTGACCACCAACGTTTTAGCTGGCAGCACGTCGTCTGAGGGCACCTGCAGGTTAGGGCGGTTAGGGTTTAGGGTTCACTGTATAGGGTTTGGGGGTCCACGGTTTACGGTTGCAAGGCCATGTGCGGTCACGGCACAAGAAGAAATGATGACAGGGGATGCCTCCATTACAAACACGGGACCGAACTTGACAGCTTGATCGATGCTTGGGAAAATAAACACAACAATGACTGCAATCATATCCGTCATCATACATATTGCGCCAAAAATTGCATGCATGCAACGAGAAAGACACATCGTGGCCCGGATGCTCTACTTGACAACAACCCTGAAGCCGCGCCTCAACAATCTTCTACAGCTCTGACAATCATGCGTGATAACCGCACTGAAAATTGTTCTGTGCAGTTAATGTTCCATCGGGCATTCCTGTCCAGCCAATGGGGACGGGGTCTGTAAAAACTGTCCCTGCTGCGGCCTTCTTGACCATGTTCCCCTTGCCCTCCGAGCATAGGGTCGCGATCCGCTCGTGAAGTTCGCGTTGTCTTTCCGACATGGTTGCTTCGGGCCTTGCACGCCGAAAGCTCCAGCAAGGGTTCGGACTCAGGTAGCCTATTCCGCCGCGTGTTTCCTAACACTTTTGCCCAGCAAGGTGCTTTGCTGATGCCTCCATTTTGGCATGGACTGCGCGACTTTGACGTCGTTGCAGCTTCACTCCGCAAAATACGACCTTGCACAATCTGCACACAGCACCTTGGAAAAACACTGCCTAGTCACAGCATGTCCTGTCTGTGGCGGGCCGTTTGCGGAGTGGCAGCCTAAACCCCGGCAGTATTCTGCTTCCTTCCAAAGCACGGCACCCAAACTTGCCGCGGTCTGCTGTTGTGCCTCAGTTGTGCCGCACTTTGATTTTGCAAATTTCGCAAAATCGGCAGAATCTTCCAAAATATTACTTTCGGAATGAAGTTGGAATGCGCAGTGCCACCGGAACACGCGTGCGTGTTGCTTGCCCGCACGAGGTCTGGAGCAGCTCGGTGCGACGCGCCAGTTGCCGCAAACGGCAGGCACCAGCGCAATCAGGAAACCCATGAACCATGGCAAAGCGTCAATGTTGCAGCATATCCGCGGGATGCATGTCCCATGCAGAAGCATGCAGGCATGTGCTGATTTTCGAATATCATTGAAAATCTAGCTCCGGATTCCCGCTTTTGCCTCTAAGAACCACCACGTCACGACAAGCACGCCAATCAATGCAAGAAGCCAGTTGGCAAACTCAAAATACTCCGACAAAGCTGCTACACAATTATATATGTTTCATCTGTTACCGAGTCAATCTAAACGCATCGAGTCTTAGACCCAAGCCTGCGGCAGCCAGATTGCCAATGGTTAAGCTGTCTACCGAAACCAAACCACACCAACATCCTGGGCTCGAGGCGACTCCGCATAACCAGCCTGCAGGGCCAGAGATTCCACTTGACACGAGCATCGTGTCTCACCTACCCCATGAGAATTTCTCAAGATACCTGCATCTGCGATGTCCAGTGCACGCTGCGTCGCCGGCATGGCAAAGCATAAAGTTTGGAAGTGATGGTTTGTACTGCGTCCGTCTCCCCAAACTCTGCAACATCAGATAAATGCCATGAATAACCTGGTTGCGGAACCACCCATGTGCACACGCAACCCTGTGCTGCATGTGTAGCTCACTGTCAGTGTGCCAGGCAATTTGGACCGATTCACCTCAATGGATCGCATCGAAACCTGATTATTTTGAATTGGTTTCTATTCCTTCCCGTCGTGCATTCAGCGTGTCGATTCGGCGTCATGTACGACACAAAAAAAGTTCTGCTCATACGGAGTGCAGAGAACGTTGCCAAGCACATGATGAACCGAAATACTGTATCAATTTTAACATCAGAAAGAATCATGGAGAGTCGATGCATGAAAAGATTGGTGCGTATTGTGCTATATTATTGGAAGAAAGGCAGGCAACTCGTTTGCACCCAACGCCCAGCGGTGTACCAAGCAAGAAAAGCGGACATGCTAGTGTCACAGTGGCCATCGCTCGGGTCGGCTACGTGATTAGGCCACAGCAATGATGGGGCAGCTCTTGGAGCGAGCAACGGAGCCGGCAATCGAGTCGATGGCGCGGCGCTCGCTGGCGCGCCCACGCAAGCAACCGGAGGGAAAGTCTTTCACATTGTGGCTGATCCTGCCCCCGGCCTCGCCAGCTGGCAGCAGCGGCATCTCGCCATCACCTCCGGCCAGCATTCCGGCCTGGCAAAGTCGAATGACGGCGGTGTCGGCCGGCGGCAGCAAATTTCCAGCAGGTGAATGCTGCGAGGCGCTGTGTGGCGAAGGAAACTTCGCACGTGTTTTTTTTTTTTCCGCACCTTTTTGCAACCGTCTCCAAACGCGCGGTCCCCGTGCACACACGGCC